TTGACATTTTGAAATTTGACAATATTTGAAAATGTTGCAACTTCATAAGAGACCTCTATACTACATCAAATAGTAGAAATAACTTAGTTACAATTTTAGATACATTTCAATCATTTTTTGGTAATTTCGCCAAAACTTAGTAGCTAGTGAAAACATTTCTAAAAATTATGTTTGTAAGCTTTGTCGGAGACTTCTATCATTTACAATAGATCACAAAATTCTCTAGAACAAAAATTTGGTTTCATGTATCATTTTGTGGAAAAACAAAGTCCATGTTTAATGTCATGGTTTGGATTATCTTACTAGCTTAGTACGATATAATGGACTAATGAAGTTGGTGTAATAGACTCTTCAAGAGACCACAGCTTCATGAAATGGAATAATCGTTTGAGTAGTATTTTGGGTGCATCATCATATATCATTCATAAGTTACAAGAAAATGGCCAAAAATTGATCAAAGTAAAAATTTAATAAATTCAACATAATTACCATTACAAATAACATAAGTATGTTCCTATCAGTTTCTCTTGGAGGAATATGAATGATTTTGATATCCAACTTCTTTAATTGATGAATACGTTTGGATCAATAATTTTGGTATTTCCATAAGCAAAGAACCTTAGAATGAAATATTTGCTTCTTAAGATTCTTAATCCTTTTGTTATTCTATACAGAGTACCGAACACCGTGATATGTTCTTCGAAAGTCTTGATTCTCAAAATCGCATGCAATTATCACACCAAATTCTCGTTCCTCATTAGTGGGGTTTAGCTGCTGCGTAGTGATAAAGAAACAGAAATTTCTTTTAATATTTAGGATTTTATTAATGGGTTAAGTTAACTTGTGTAGAATCAAATATTTAACCAGGTTAAACAGTGTAGAATACATTTTTCTTTTAAGATCGAGTTTAGAAAAAGACGTGGACTTGTGTTCTTTTTGTATTTCCCATGCGTGGTAATAAGCTTACGCTGGCAACATAAAAATATACTATGAAAAACAAGATAGTGGAACTATACTCACAACATACCTTCTTTTGAATTGGAAACAAGATAGCAAAGAAAGGGGAAGCAAGAACACATAACTGAAAACAGACTAGCAAGAATTGTTATCATAAACTTTTCAATGAAAAATTAGTAATACATAAAAACCAAATACAAAATCACCTCGACGTGGATAATGTATAATTAATGATCTTTCTTGAAAACCATTATGCTAATTTGGGTGAAAGTTTCAAACCATTAGAGCATTTTCAACAGAGTCTCCTAATGAGACATTTATGTTAATTTTATTACCTTAGCTCACAAACAAGAGACGTTTTTCATGCTTTTGAAAAATCTATTTGTCAATTGTTTTTATGGTGTTGGTTGAATGTGGTGTTTCAATTGTTCAAAATTTAAACAAATATAAAAAAAAATTTAAAATTTGTAAATGAGAAACTCAAAGAATCTTTAACTGATAGAATGGAGATGCACATCTCTTCTTGATGAGAGTTTCACCATTTAAACATATGGATGTGATAAAAAAAATCGACCAAAGATATCTTA